AGATGGAAGAAGAAGCCACAAGCCAAGGAATGCAGGAGGTTCAGCCCAGTTGGAAAAGACAAGAGAATGGACTCGGGGCTGGGGATTTAGCTCAGCGGCAAAGCGCCTGCCTGGCAAGCGCAAGGTCGTGAGTTCAGTTCCCGGTACTGGAGAAAAACCAAAAAAAAAAAAAAAAAAAGAGAACGGACTCTCCCCTAGAGCCTCCAGAAGGAGCACAAGCCTGAGGATGTCTTGGTATTAAGACACTGATCTCTAAAACCAGAAGATCAGCATTTCATGCTGTCCTTGGCCACTGTATTTGTGATTTATTAAGGCAGTGGTAAGAAAGTATGGCTGAGAGCACTTTGGCTGGCTATAAATGCACATATAATTTATAAATATCTTTGGCCCAACAAACTCCAATCTGGGAATTTAATCTAAGACATGGTCAAATACCTACAAAGTGGTGCACACACTGCTTTGTTGTTTCTAGCAGCCATCAAAATCCACATGACTGTCCATCAAAAGGAGGCTGATTTTTAAAAGTGATGAGATAGCCAGTATGGAATATTATGCAACTATAGAAAAGGAACAAACAGGTTCTTTATCCCATACAACAATGTCTCCAAGATATCTTAAGTGACAGAAGGAAAGTGATTTTAATGCAATAAGTGCAGCTGGTCTGGTGGATTAATATTTGTGTAGGAACAGGAAGGAAGCAGAATGTAGAGTCACAAGTATGAATGGCAGAATAAATAAATTAACAATGTGTGTTGCCTGTGGGGAAGGGAAGCAGAATGGCTGGAAAGAGAAGGCGAAAAGAGATTCTCACAAACACCTTTCAAATTTTGTCTAAATCTGCGTATGTAACATGAATAAATTACCTCTTCACAATGTAAATAAAAGAAAAAGATTACAAATTAAACAAGAACAGGAGTATCTAACTTGGCACAGGCCACATTCCAAGCCAGGAAAGAGGCCATGTCACCAACAAGACTCTGCAGAACTTTTCTAAGTCTTTGAGTTCATTCACGCCGTGAATTCCAATTTCTAGAACAAAGGGAGTGAATTCAAGGCATCATCTGCAGCAGAAGAAGAAGGTGAGAGGGCAATTTTCTCGTCAGGTAGGGTGTGAACAGAGATCTGGAGTGAGCAGGAACACAGCTAACCTTCCATTGCCCCCAAATGAAAATTAATATTCGCTTTAGGTCACGGGCAAGAATTCTTATGCAATCCCTTCAGATACTTTTTCCAGAATTCTTACATAATCCCTTCAGGTACTTTTTCCAGTTGCAGGAACCCTCTAAGTAAGTTGACCAGTGAAACTACAGGATGCCCAATTAAATGTAAATTTCAGATAAACAACAGTAGAATGGGTTCTCTGTATCCACAGGTTCTGCATTTATCTTCAGATCAAGATAGATAATCTTGGGGCCAGGGATATAGCTCAGTGGTATGGCACCTGCCTAGCAAGCACAAGGTCGTGAGTTCAATTCCTGGTACAAAAAAAAAA